ACATTCTGTAAAAACCAATGAGGAATTTTTTTTGGAAAAAAGTAGCGAAAAAAGAAGCGGTTACCGAAATTTTTGAACCGGTTATTTAGATAATAAAACTAGTAATGGTCCGTTTAAATAAATTTGGCTTATTTGTTTACTAGCTTTCTAATACCACGCATATATAGGGTATTGAAACCGGGTTTATTAACTAAATATCCGGTGCAAAAATTATATTTTTTTGGGTATTTGGCTTACCAAAACTGGTGGATTTGTCAAGGAATGTTGTTTTAAGGGTTCCCAATTTCTAGATTTCTAACCACATGCATATAAAGTATTGAGACCGGTTTTAGTATCTGAATATCCGGTACAAAAATTTAACAAACCGGTTTTGTTTTTTTTCGAACTTTATTTTTTTTTTGCCGTATTTGGGTTACCAAAGTTGTGGATTTGTTAAGGAATTTTTTTTCAAGGGTTCCGCGGTTCAAAAATTTTAAAATCCGGTTCCTTTTTTTCAAAATTTATTTTTGGCGTATTTGGGTTACCAAAGGTGTGAATTTGTTAAGGAATATTTTTTTAAGGGTTCCCAAAGGCGTAGATTTTATAAAATATTTTTTCAAGGCGTGGATTTTTTAAAGAATAATTTTTCAGGGTCTAAACAAGGCGTGGATTTTTTTAAAGAATCATTATTCAGGGTCTAAACAAGGCGTGGATTTTTTAAAGAATGTTTTTGTGAGGGTCTAAACAAGGCGTGATTTTTTTAAGAATAATTTTTCAGCGACTAAACAAGGCTTGGATTTTTTTAAAGAATATTTTCTTCAGGTTCTAAGCAAGGTGTGGAATTTTAAAGGGCATTTTCTTCAGGGTCTAAGAAAGACGTGGATTTTTTTAAAGGATATTTTCTTCAGGATCTAAACCAGGCGTGGATTTTTTAAAGAATATTTTTGTGAGGGTCTAAACAATTTTTAAAGAATATTTTTTCAAGGTCAAAACAAGGCGTGGATTTTTTTAAAGAATCATTATTCAGGGTCTAAACAAGTCGTGGATATTTAAAAAAAAATATATATATATATATTTGCAGGGCCTAAACAAGGGGTGGATATTTCAAAAAAAATATTTTTCCTGGGTCTAAAAAAAAAAAATATTTTTGTAGGGGTCTAAATAAAGCGTGGATATTTCAAAAATATATATTTGCAGGGTCTAAACAAGGTGAAAAAAATATTTTTCCGGTTCTTTCAAATCTCTACAAATTTCATCTGATTTCCATAGAAATCGATATTAAGGATTCTCTGGCCAAGAGGCGCATCTGAACAAAATTTGGTAAATAATGGTCTGAAATAAAAGTTTGACAAACATTGGTGAAAAGCCCATGCAAGAATTTTGGACCGGAACTTTTAAGCTTTCTACATTTTACAACCGATTTCCATAAAGATCGATATATAGGCTCCTGTGGCCTAGATTTAAATTTGGCAAAAAAAGTTCTGCATACATTATAGGACCTTCAAATATCGATGGTAATTAATTTTTCATTAATTGAAATATATGTCAACCCAACCATGAATTCTTATGACGCTGATTTCGGTAAAATCACTCATTTATATCACTCAGAAAAAAAAAACATTTTTTTTTTTTGAAATGATATGCGAATTGAAAATTTTTGTTGATAGTTCATTTCCCGTTTTGTTGGAAAAAACAGCAATAAAATTTTGAGGAAAAATTCATATTGAATAAAATATGAAAATAGATTTCAAAAATAAAATCTTTATGAATCATGACATAGATGATGAGGATGATGATGCTGATAGCAGTAGTGAATTTCAGGAAAATTTTCAAAAATTCATATATTTTTTGGTCAGCTCTATAAAAAATAGTAATAATTTGCCATGATGCAAGGCAAAACCCCTCAAAATTACGGCAACAAAATGAAAAGGAAATAAACTGATTTTTTTCGGCTGGTATTAGCCGCCTGGCAGAACACTTATAAATATTATTATTTTATGAAGACAACTCTCGGACAATAACAGCAACAACAACAAGAACAGTCATCATACAATTATTAAATGTGAAAAAATACATTTTATTTTTTTATTTTTATGGCCTCTTAAAAGATTTTAATTAAAGAAGGCAAACCAACAACAACCAGAGAGAGAGAAAAAAAAAAACAGAAATCTATGAATAAGAAAACCACCACAATGTCCGCAATATTGCAAAATAGATTCATTTATATGCCAACACCCCGACATTAAAATCATCATCATAGTCATCAGAAGCAGCAGCATCAGTGATGGTGGCAGTATCATTTTTTTTATTCACTCACTTACTCAGTCACCCACTCACTCACATCAAATGAAATTGGGTTGTTTGGATTTAAAGTTTGTCATACTACAAGAAAAAAAAAAAACGAAAAAACTAGCGGGATCTTAATGTCCGACAGACTAACTACCGCACTCAGTTGGTGTTGATGGTATGTCAGGCAACTCTATCTTTCTCTTTCGAAATCTCTCAGCTCTGAAAAAAATTTCTTAAATTGCGTGGCATCTTTATTTAATTTAAAAATAAAAAAATAATGAAACATATTTCTATACAATTTACCACAATGTTGGCAAAAATATGCATACCACCCCACCCCCACCCATTCCATTCAACACAATGTTGTTCCATATATATAAATTATACGTATGAAACATTGTGTTTCATATTTTTTAAAATATGCTCACATAGCTCACAACGAAATATTTTTCTATGTAGGGCTTCAGTACAGGCACTGCTGATTGCAGTTAGCTTTTTTTCTTCTCAGCGAAAACAATATGACCTTAATGAAAAAAATTCTGCAACAAAATGTTGGTAAAGGAAATAACCAAAAAATATGGACATAATAGCTTAGCATGAAATTACTTGCTTCTATGTGGCCAGCCAAGGCTTATGGTTGACTCTGTAGCAGGCCACATAATAATTGAGGACCGATTTTATTCAAATTTTCCACTATCAAAGAGTATATCAGCCTTAATATCGATTTTCGGGAGAATAGGTCACGAAACCAGAAAAAGACCTGGACCATATACAACAAAACTAAAATCAGAAATTTTCTTCCGATTGTAAAAAAAAAAAATTGGAGAATGTCACGAAATCTGAGTCTATGGGGTTCCATTAAAATTTCTCTTTCGATTTTTATGAAATATTACCAGACTGTATTCAATGTTGCCCTTTTTCATATTTTTAATAAAAAACTAGTAAGAAAAATAGTAAAGGCGTACGGGGCTGACTATATGATAGGTACCCTTCAACACATTGGGTACATTCAACAGATGAATCCGAACAGACGTCGCATTTTTAAAGGACCAGCGAAATGAAATTGGATCAATAAACATGTCATTCTGCAACCGATACTAAATTTTTCATTTTGTGAAATATATAAGGTATATCTAAATCTGAACCGATTTCAGGAAACTTAACACTGACGTGTGTTATACCTAATTTATTACGCTGTGCAAAATTTCGTGCAAATCGAAAGATATATAGGGACTTTGTTGCAACATTTACCTTAAATCGGACGAAAATATATATATGGGAGCTATATCTAAATCTGAACCGATTTTCAAATAACTTAGCACACATCATTCTAGGCTCATTTCAGCACGTTGTGCCAAATTTCGTGCAAATCGAAAGATATTTACGGACTTTGGTGCACCATTTATAAAATCTCACGAAAATATATATGGGAGTTATATCTAAATCAGAACCGATTTTCACGAAACTTAGCACACATCATTCTAGACCTAATTCATTACGCTGTGCAAAATTTCGTGCAAATCAAAAGATATTTAGGGACTTTGTTGCACCATTTACCTAAAATCCGACGAAACTATATATGAGAGCTATATCTAAATCTGAACCGATTTTCACGAATCTTAGCACACATCATTCTAGACCTAATTCATTACACTGTGCCAAATTTCGTGCAAATCGAAAGTAATATAGGGACTTTGGTGCACCATTAATCTCAAATCGGACGAAAATATCTATGGGAGCTATATCTAAATCTGAACCGATTTTCAAATAACTTAACACACATCATTCTAGGCTCATTTCAGCACGTTGTGCCAAATTTCGTGCAAATCGAAAGTAATATAGGGACTTTGGTGCACCATTAATCTCAAATCGGACGAAAATATATATGGGAGCTATATCTAAATCTAAACCGATTTTCAAATAACTTAACACACATCATTCTAATTTCGTGCAAATCGAAAGATATTTAATGACTTTGGTGCACCACTTACCCAAAATCGGACGAAACTATATATGGGAGCTATATCCAAATCTTAACCGATTTTCACAAAACTTCGCACACATTAATCCGGACCTAATTCAGTACGCTGTGCAAAATGTTGTTTCAATCGAAAAAAATATTGAAAGTTTGGTGCACAATTTACCTAAAATCGGACGAAACTATATATGGGAGCTATATCTAAATCTGAACCGATTTTCTCCAATTTCAATAGGGTTCGTCCTTGGGCCAAATAAGTGACATGTGCCAAATTTTATCCAAATCGGATCATATATGCGACCTGCACTTTGCTCACAAAAATACATGAACGGACATGCATCAATCGACTTAGAAAGTGATTCTATGCATATTCTGAAAAGGAACCATGGGTCTATCTTGATTCCTTTTGCCTGTTAATAAATTATGTAAAAAAACTATTTTTATTTTTTTTTTATAAAAAATATTTTTATATTTTTTTATAAAAATATTTTTTTGAAAAAAACATTTTTATATTTTTTTATAAAAAATATTTTTATTTTTTTTATATAAAAAATATTTTTTTGTAAAAAATATTTTTATATTTTTTTTATAAAAAATATTTTTATATTTTTTTTTTTTATAAAAAATATTTTTATATTTTGTTTATAAAAAAATATTTTTATATATATATTTTATAAAAAATATGTTTATATTTTTTTTATAAAAAATGTTTTTATATTTTTTTATAAAAAATGTTTTTATAATTTTCACTTACCTTCTTTTTGTCTCTCATCGAGCCCTTGCCTCGGACCATAATTTTACAGCCAGTTTCTTGTTCCAATTGCTTGGCTGTCATGCCGCGAGGACCCAAAATTCGACCAACAAAGTTGAACTGCAAAGGAAAGAAAAAAAAAATTATTAAAATAATTGAAATTGAAAATAAAAAAAATTGAAATACATAAATCAAATATTATTTGGTTCATGTCAAACCATGTTGTAACTCAACAGGTTTGACATGCAACAATTAGGTCTTAAGTAAAAAAAAAATAATTTTTCGCTCTAATCCCTGTTCCATGTTCTTGTCATCATCTGCATCATGCATCGTCATCAAAGCCAAAAAAAAACAACAAAATTGTCAAATTAAACTGTCAGATATTGTTGCTGCTGACAGTTCCGAACATCCAAATGAATTATCTTCAAAGTCAAATGAAAATGTTTTGTGGAACAAAAAAGAGCAAGAAGAAGAAAAAAAGTTGGATGCAGAAAAACGTTTAGGAATCTGCATTTGAATGGATTTGAATCTGCTCAGATGAAAAATAGCCAATAAAAACCATCCGATGGAAATTCAAAACAAAAATTGAAAATGACATGAAGCCAACCATTCAACATACACATACACACATGTTGACCATACAACACATACCCATACAAACTGTCGAACTTCTCTTTAAGGAATTCTCCTTTAAAGAAATCGCTTAAAAACCCCTCGAAATCAAAATTTTAAAAAAAATCAACTTTGAGAGAATTTTCTCAATGATGTAAAAATGCCTCCCTCTCCCCAAACTGTGATATTGTAGAGAAATTCCCCTGTATTGTATGTATGTGTATGATTAAAACCAATCAACTTGTTTGAACCCTAGAGGGCAACCAAAACACACAGCACCACAAAGCCTTAATTTAACACGATATGGGTTTTTTATGAGGCGAAAACAATAACAGCAACAGAAAACCTCAAGAAAAAAATAGACTAATAAATATTATTACAAAGCCAGCTAGCTAACCACCCCCACAACGAAATTTGTATCTCGTGTGGAACCAGGGGGGATGCGAGGAGGTTGGGTCGGAGTAATTAAATTTGATTAAATTTTTTTAAATCAACTTTGATTTGCGGTCCATTTCATATTGGTTAACATTTGGTCACATCATAACGCCATCTTATGTGCTGGAATTTGTTGTTGTTGAAATAGTTGTTATTTAGGCATGATTTTTCATGCATTAAAATTAATAGTGGTCATGTCTTTAACCTTTTGATAGGAAAATAAACACGCAAATAATACTACGGCTGATGGTGATGATGATGTGATCAGCAATAATTGGCGGTGGTCGATTATGATTGTGATTTTTCTAGCTTACATACATACAGTTGAGGGTAAAATTGGGTTTATAAAAAATTAAAAAAAAAAGCAAAATAAAAAAAAATAAAATACAAAAATAATTAATGTAGCTAATTTTTGGTAGGAAGATTTGCAACCGATGATACCTCAAACTAAAAAATTACCTGCAACTCCGTTGAGAACCGTGCCTGAAATTCTCTAAATACCGAAAATCGGGCACACTGTTATATGGGGTCTACCCTGAAAATTGGACCAATATTAATAATCTTTGGTAGGACTATTCCTCGACCCATGAGAACCCAAAATACCAAATTATATCCAAATATCGGTTGAAAACCGTATCTGAAAACCTCAAAATACCGAAAATCGGTGGTTACGTTATATGGGATCCATATCTCAAAGTTAACGAATATTGATAATTTTTGGTGGGAAAGTTTGTCACCCCATGAGAACTCCAAATATCAAATTGGAGGGAATTTGATTGAAAAATGTGCCCAAGCTCCCCAAAATAACAAAAATCGGCGGTACCAATATCTCAAAGTTGACAAATATTGATAATTTTTGGTAGGAAGGTTTGTTAACCCATGAGAACCCCAAATATAAAATTACAGCCAATTCGGTGTTAAAATGTCCCTGAAATCCTCAATATACCGAAAATCGGAGGTAACGTTATTGGGACCAATACCTCAAAGTTAACGAATATTGATAATATTTGGTGGGAAGGTTTGTCACCCGAAGAGAACCCTAAATATCAAATTGTAGCCAATTTGGTTGAAAAATGTGCCCAGTTGACCGAAAATCGGTAATATTATATAATTTTTTTGGTGGCAAGGTTTGTTACCCCCAAATATCAAATTACAGCCGATTCGGTGTTAAAATAAATCATTATCGGAGCCAATTTGATTGAAAAAATTTTTGTGCCCAAGCCCAAAATATAAAATTAGAGCCTCCAAAATACCGAAATTCAGGATGTACCCTTATATAGGGCCTATACCTAAAAGTCGATCAAAATTGATAATTTTTTGTGAGAAGGTATGTCGCCTAATGAGAACCCAAACTATTAAATTAGAGGCAATTCGGTTATATAATGTGCCCGAAATCGCCAAAATACCGAATAATCCTACCTACCTTTATACTTAGGTCAATATTGATAATTTTGTGGTAAGGTGATTTGCCTAAGAATGAGAACACATACTATCAAATTAGAGGCAATTTGGTTGAAAAATGTGCCCAAGCTCCCCAAAATACCGAAATTCGGAAGGTACCCTTATACGGGACCTATACCTAAAAGTAGACCAATCTAGATAGTTTCTGGTAAGGCGATTTTTTATCCATTGGGAACCCAATCTATTAAATTTGAAACCATTTGGTTGAAAAATTTGCCTGAAATCATCATAGTACCGAAAATCGGCGGTACCGTTACATGGGGCCTATACCCAAGAGTGACCAATATTGATAATTTTTGGTAGGAAGATTTCTAACCCAATGATAATTCAAAATATCAAATTATAGGCAATTCTATTGAAAAACTTTCCCAAGCACCCCGAAATATCGAAATTTGGGAGGTGTGTTGAATTGGGACTATCTTAAAAAGTGAAAAACATCCTCCCTTTTTCTATAAAAAAAATCGGCTTCTCCCCTGAGGATTGTTTTTTTATTTTTCTATAGGAAAAAAAAAAATTCCTCAGACCCTCTGAAGATTTCCTTTTTCTATAACAAAATTCCTTAGATCCCCTGAAGGCTTACCTCTTCTATAAAAATTTTCCCAGGTCTCCTGAAGATTTCTTTTTCCATAGAAACAATCGTCAGGGTTCGCAATTAAAAAAAAATCTTCAGGTCCTCTATAGAAAAAAATCCTCAATTATTTTTCTATAAAAATTCATTCCGAACACCCACACTCCACATTTCTACAAAAAAACTGTCGTTTTGTATTTTAAATTACAATTAAATTTGTGTTAAATGTGTAATAAGTTATGCCAATCAAATCAAACGATCCGATCGATGAAACCGATCTACACTAAATCACGAACATTATCATCATCAGCGACGAACTAATTAAAATATCAAAGCTATGGAATCGAATTGAATTTAACATGAAAACACGCACAGCAATAGCTGGGTGGGTGATGACACCCATCCACCCACTATTATAGCTACTTTTGTTTGATCCGAGCCGGCCTTATGACGTATACATTACAAACGTATTGTAAAGTAAACGTTGAGGGGAGAGGCGGACAGACAGGGTGGCTGATCGAGAAGCATATTAATTAGTTTATAGTTGTTGTTATATTTAGTTTCTTCCGCCTAACATTTCTCAGAAACTATTGACTATTGGAAATTCTGGTTTGAAGACAACCCACCTCTCGAACACCAATCCACCTTCTCCAACCTAATATATCTCTCATTGGAATTGAATTAAAACAGAAACAAACTGCACCCACTAATGTGGCATGATCTTGTGGTATGTGGTCGGGGTCGCATGGCCATGCGACATTTAAAAAGAAAAACAGTTGCCCACAAGAGGCCACCGGTTCGTTCATTTGAAAATTGCCGCCGATAGCCACCTCCACATTCACACCCCACCACCTAGTGTCAAGTGTGAATGGAATATTTATGCAAATGAGAAGTTTGTGCGATTTTGTGATTGATTGCTAGCCAGCCAACGACACCACCATCTCATCATCATCAACAGCACCATCAACATCGCGTCATGGTCAGGCCAAGCCAAGCCAAGCCAATCGTAATGCCATAATGGGCAACATGACGATTGCAGGCAGACAGGCAGCAGCAGCTTCAGCCAATTTAAGCCGCCACCTCAAATATAATTGTTAAATTGGCTAGAAAACAAATCATTTTAATTTTTATTCGTATGCGCATGCATGCATGCCTACCCTGCACATATATGGATAATTTAAATTAAACAACGAAAATTAAAAAAAGACAGAACAAGAAAACCAATTATAAATGATTAAAATCTCAACGACAGAAGATTTAAGGCTTTAAATAAATTATTTGAAAAATTAAATTAAAATTTCAAGATCCTCCAGATTATTAAGGAGGACCAACGAAGGAAAGATAATTTGTGTAAGTGATAATCGTCATAATTGTCCATATTGTTGTAAAGATCGAAGTCTTTACTAGTAAAGATCGAAGTCTTTACTAGTAAAGATCGAAGTCTTTACTAGTAATGATCGAAGTCTTTACTAGTAAAGATCGAAGTCTTTACTAGAAAAGATCGAAGTCTTTACTAGTCAAGATCGAAGTCTTTACTAGTAAAGATCGAAGTCTTTACTAGTAAAGATCGAAGTCTTTACTAGTAAAGATCGAAGTCTTTACTAGTTAAGATCGAAGTCTTTACTAGTTAAGATCGAAGTCTTTACTAGTAAAGATCGAAGTCTTTACTAGAAAAGATCGAAGTCTTTACTAGTAAAGATCGAAGTCTTTACTAGTAAAGATCGAAGTCTTTACTAGTAAAGATCGAAGTCTTTACTAGTAAAGATCGAAGTCTTTACTAGTAAAGATCGAAGTCTTTACTAGTAAAGATCGAAGTCTTTACTAGTTAAGATCGAAGTCTTTACTAGTAAAGATCGAAGTCTTTACTAGAAAAGATCGAAGTCTTTACTAGTAAAGATCGAAGTCTTTACTAGAAAAGATCGAAGTCTTTACTAGAAAAGATCGAAGTCTTTACTAGTAAAGATCGAAGTCTTTACTAGTAAAGATCGAAATCTTTACTAGTAAAGATCGAAGTCTTTACTAGTAAAGATCGAAGTCTTTACTA